CGTTCTTCTCTGCGTGAGTAGCTTAATGTTGTTCGTGTGTAATTTACGTTGAGTAGGCTAACCACGTTATTACATTAATGCATGTAAGGTGAACTAGCAAACATCATCATAGCTACATGCGGCTGTCTTCTTGTTTCATGGCAGATACTCCTTTCAACCTGGCCAAAAAGGCTAAAATGACCATAGAAGAAGTGGAAAACAGTTAAACATGAGAGGTTTTTGGACAAAGTTTGTGTTTTTTCCATTGTTTAAGCACTGCTTCCAGCCAAGAGTGATAGCATATATGCCCCATAGCTGCAGAAAAGGCTAACATTGTTATCTTTTTACAAAAAACAGCTGAACACGAGAGGTTTTTGGACCAATTTTGTGTTCTCCATTCTTTAAGCACCGGTTTGAGCACCGTTTAAGCACCGGCACCGTTTCAAAAGTACCGGTTTAGCACCGGTATCGGATAAAACCTAAACGATACCCATCCCTACTGAGAACCCTGTTTGTTGAATTAATAAACTGTGAAAATGGCAATATGTCTAGTTTCTAGAAACTTTAATCACAGTTTTTCTATGGGCGCAATCCACATTGTCAACTCTGCCGCTATGATTGTGTGTGTGTGTGTTTACAGACCTTGCAGTGAGTTCAAGATGCAGAAGAGGTAGAGGGCAGGAGTGGTCAGGAGGCCAAATGAGAAAAAGACCAGGCCCCAGGTAATGCCGAGCAGAGTCATGACTCCAGCCAGGGAGCAAATGTCTTTCTTTGTTTTTTCAAGGTTATTCTGCCCAAACTGATTTGCCAAATATAAAATGACATACCAGGTTACACACAATCAAAGTTTGAGACCTTGAATTGTCATAAAAAAAATACTTCATTGCTGGTTTTGGGTTTCCAATGGATACACTGATGGATTACTACTTAAATATTTCTTTTAAGACTACAGAATTACCTCTCTGGTGTGGTGGAGAATCAAAACACGTCTGATTGTCACCCCAAACATGATTACATTAAAAAGGAACACCAAGCTGAACAGTACCACTGTAGTCCATATTTTCACGTAGGAATTGGTTATATAGCATCTATTAAAAAAAGAGCAGATCATGTTTTAACCTCACAAACTGAAAAATTAACAATGTGCTCTGTAAAAGACACATTAATGCAGATCTATGTAGTAAAAGCATCCCCAGGGCTACAAAGGAAATAATGTTTCAATTTTAGCAAGTTAGATGCTTGGTGAAATGAAGCTTTCTGATTCTCCCTTAAAAAAATAAACATGCATGTATACAAAAACCCATGTGTAAAACAATTAATAAGTAAATAAGTAAATGTAAACTACTATTCCTGAATTTACATGCTAGCAAATCTTACATTGTAGAGTTAGATGTTTCCAGAGCAACCTGACCATAAAACTTTCTGTCTATGATCACCACCACTGACACAATCACTGCAGGGACGCCTGGAGCCAAAAAAAAAAAAAGATTATTCACCATACCATTTCCAGATTGATAATGACAGGTTCCTGATTAAATTATTCCACTCACCCCATCCCACCACGCTGAGTTTGAGCAGGTATTTCTTGACATAGATGTTGAAGACTTTGACCAGGAGAAGATATAAGTGGAAACCTTCCAAGGCCATCCAGCTGAAAGTGGCCAGCAGGGAATAATGAAGTAAAAGAGCCATGTATAAGCAAAGTCCAGAGGAAGACCCTGCTGCCGCTGCCTGACTGGGCAGGAAGTGCAGGTTGAGGAGCATCAGGGCAATTACAAGGTTGATGTGGACCTTCATAGAGACATCTTGTCTGAGTTTTCTGTCAAACAGAAACATACTGTATCACAACTGGAGAAATAGTAGGCCGTAAAAAGAGAAGAAAGAAAAGATGAAGTGATAAGTACAGAATAAAGAGAGCATTTGCTGTAAGAGATGATTCAGAAAAAGAGGACAGGAACTGAAGCAAATGAGATTACAGGAGGTACTAAAAATGAGTGGAAGAACTGATGAAGATGGGAAGAATATGAAAAATGAATTTATTACCTGTTTGTAATAAAGAGCAAAATGGCTATGACCAAAGCAAAAAGGGAAATACTACAGCCGATCACAGTAATGTGTGTTAAAATCTCTTGGTCTTTC